ATTTTGACGTCTTGTGCAAGAAAGAAGATAAATTCTTAACAAAGTAGCTATAAGAATTAAATAGACGCTGGTGTGTATGTAATTGTGTCTCTTCTTTTTTATTTTTTAGTTTTTAGCTCAAATAGCTCGCGCGAAATGCATATTTCTGCAACTTATAAATCAACATTCACGTTCGATATTTTGATCAGAATGAATTGTCCTAACTATTGTCAGGACGCCTACGTCTTGAAGACAATTGTCAGCTTTTTTGTCAACTAATATTATGTTATACGCACGTATTATTTGCAAATAACAATTTGCAAAATGGTAAACTTTGCCGTATAAACGCTGAGCTAATTTTTTATTTGCAAATAACTAAATCACGCAAATAAGTATTGATTATTGGTACTATTGGCAAATAAGCGCAAGACGCCGCCAATCTTACGTTCATTTTCTTTTTCGATGGTCATCTTATTGCCTTTTTATAGTCAAATCGTTGCCATTTTTTACTTTATTGTCCAATGTAAACGCGCCGTAATGCATGCATACTTCCACAATTGTCTCACTTAAAGGTCCTACACACGCATTGATTTATCGGCCAACCAGTTGACCAACCTACATAACGAAATTCTCAATTAGAACAGATCTGGGGGTCAATTCTCGTTCTGTGAAACGGTGAAATGAAAACTTTTTTCGCGTTTTCATTGCACTTCCGATTCGCTTTCAGTGAAAAAATGAAAAGAAACGTCAAAGTGTTTTCACATGAAAAAAAAGTGGAACGAAACGAAATTTTTCACTTTTTCACAACCCTGACGATTCTCGTTCTGTGAAACAGTGCAACCAACTGTCAAAAACTTATCATATGTAAGAAAATTATACACAGCCTATTTATACGTGAAAACAAGATGGAGAAGATACCAAGAGGAAAGCGCGCCAGCGAAAACCAAAAAGAGTTTTTAATAAATTATCTAGACAATGTAGACATTGCAAACGATACGTATGAAGCCTTCTTAACATAAACAAACGAATACCAATTATTTATAATTATAGATTTGTGACGGCAGATGGTGCCAAATTTCGCGAAGAAAAGTGGAAAGAACTAGCGGTGAGCCTTAATGCTCTTGGCGGCACTCAAAAGGATGGTGCAAAATGGAAGAAGTATTGGAGCGATTTAAAGTATGTATATAAATTTTTCATGATGTGATTATTTTTTTTAATGTTTTGTTTTAATACCTACAAACAGACTTCATACTCGCACAAAATATAGTGCAATAAGGCAGGCAGAGCAGAGAAGTGGTATAAACGGTTTGAGCCGGGCCAAAGCACTGTCACCGCTGGAAGAGCGCATAATTAAGATTACAACTGTGCAGGCAGTCGATGGTGATGAAACGGGCGAAGTGGGCTTTGAAGCACTCGACATGGCAGAAGCTTCTCACAATCTCGCTGACATTGTGGAGGAGACATTCGAAGTTGTTGTGGCTGAATGCGAGTTAGATGGTACTGCAGCCGCAACCACATTGGAAGATGCAACTACGTGTCCAATGATGGGGGCGAGCACCTCAACTGCTGCATCAATAAGAGGCTGCACAGCAGCAGCCTGTTCGAGAGGGCGAAAAAGAAAGGCGCAAGCAGAAAACCCTCAGTTAAAAAAATTTTTTAGGCTAGAAGAAATCAAGGTAAGGGAAATGGAGATCGCCAATAATTTAAAACGCGAACAGATCCAAGCGGTGAAGGAGCAGACAGAGGCAATAATAGTAATACAACACTTAATTGAAATTTTGAGGCGGCCGTGAGAATGTTTCAATTTTAGAAACAGCCTTGTCCATAAGTATTAGACAATTTTTATTATACCTTTTTCTAATGCTTAAGAAAACTTGAAGTCCTTTTTCTTCTTAGTATTTTTAGAGTTTAAGAAAATATGAAGTCGGTTTTACTTTTAATATTTAGAATTAAAGAAAACATGAAGTCGTTTTTTTTTTAAGTTTTTTAGAGTTTAGGAAAATATGGAGTCGATTCTATTTTTATTTTGTCTAGTGTCTATGAAAATATGATTTTTTTTTAGCTTTTAAAAATATATGAATTTCTCTGTTTAATGAATTTATATACAAAACTTACTTGTGATAAAAACTGCATTTAAAAATACTTATTTTGGAAATATAGCAATCTATGTGTGTATTTTTATATTTCTTCTGGAGCCTAATATGAGATATCGAATATGAAAGAATTCAATTTTTTTTTTATTTTTTAGTCTTTAAGAAAATATGAGGTCCTCATTGCAATGAATTTATGAACAAAACCTTTTGTGATAAAAACTGCCTTTAAAAAGAATTTAACATTTGAAATATAATATACATATGCATATTTATTAATATATGTAAATAAGTAAAAATACGAATGAAAAATAAAAAGTTGAATTATTTTCAATCTAATTTTGAATGTCATTAGTAAAAGCATTTTGAACAATTTGCAATCGTTGTCTTTTCGCAATGGATAATATATTGTGTTGAAATAGCTGAAGAAGGGCCACCACATTCTTCAGGTTCATCAGAGTCTTCCAAATAAATTTCATCGAACGGCACTCTAGCCCGAATCAAGTAGTTGTGTAAAACCAGGCAAGCGTTGATTATGAAACCTGCTTTTGGTGGACTGTAGAAAAGGGCTCTTTCCTTCGACAGACAGCGAAATCTGTTTTTAGTAAGCCAATACATCTTTCTACAAGAGCTCGAGTTGACTTGTGTGCTATATTGTAGCGCTCTTCTGCGGTACATGATGTCGCACTAATTGGTGTCATCAGCCAAGGCTAATTTAAAATTTATATTAGCATTAGATCTTTAACAAAGAAAAATAATATAAATTGTACCTGTAGTGGGTAGCCACTATCACCCAGAAGCCAAAAATCGCGCTCACCCGCCTCATAAAGCTCCTCCAGAGCTCTGCAAGCTCGAGAGCGACGCCATACATATGAGTCATAAGCAGTACCTCCGAACCGAGCGCTAGCAGACAAAACGATATAATCAGCATCACATATTATCATAACGTTCTTGGAGTGCCCACCCTTTCGGCAATAGTAAACATACTCAATTTCTTTCTTCGGGGCTGATATTTTGATGTGCGTTCCGTCTATGAGTCCGATTATTCCAGGAAATCGGGAACTTTATATGTCTGTGGGCTATGTTATTAAGTGCAATTGCCACCACTTGCACACATCTGCTAACTGATGTTTGGGATAAAGCAGATAAACTGTCTTGCCCCACACTTTTTTGAAAGCTACCAGTGGCAAAAAAACGCAGGGCGCTTAAAATAATTACATGACTCGGAACAGCATGTCTCCGTTGCGAGTTTGGCATAAATGGCATTAATTCATTAATTAATTCCAGGCACAAAGCTTTAGGGAACCGATATAAATCAATGAAATGCTCGTCTGTTGTAATCTCAAAGGATTTTGGTCGTCACGAAGTCTGCGTCGGAGCACTCTCAAATTATCTCTGAAATACATAATGCGTTAAATTGTATATACTGCATTTAAAAAATTTACGCCTTATTACCTTTGCTCGTCTCGAATTCTTTGCGATAATTCTAATAAAATAATTATTCCCGACATGTTTTGTTTACGTTTTCCTCAACTTTGACATTTACTTCGAAAATTCAATAGCACAGTTGCAAAAGTTTCACGACTATAGTGGTAATGGAACACGATTTTCACAGCACAAACCAGAATCGCAAAATAAGTGTCTGTGAAAAGGCAGAGTGAAAAGTAGTTGTGAAAACGAAAACTTTTTTTCACTTCATCTTATCACAGAACGATAATTGACCCCCTGACCGGTTGAGAAGCAGACATTTGAAATAGTAATTGAGAAAAAAGTGTGTGACGCTCGTAATTTTGAAGTTTGCTATTTCTGTTTTGCTTTTTCTTTATGTGCATTTTGTCGGTGGTTTATTTCGGTGATGTTTAAGCGGTTTTCAATAAATTTTTTGTGCAAATGTAATTAAAATGAAGTGCGCGGTGATTGGTTGCAAAAACACGTACAAAAATAATAAATTAAACCGCGGCCGTGCACTGAGAAACTGGCCCTTAAGCCTGATATACAGTTCAATGCGAGCGTGAGCGTGAGCTTTTTATTTTGACCAATATCTTAGTTATTACTCAACTTTTTGCTATAGTTGAGACATGAAAAGATAGAGAAATAAAATATCTTTCAGAAATTTAGATTAAAAACTAATTTAAAATGCATAAAATGCCTTTTTTTCAAGCTCACACTCAACTGTGTGCATACGCAAAGCATTCGCATGTGAACGGCAAGTTTTGATAGATGTGTGTGAGCGTCCATAAGAATACAAATGGAATTCTTTGCCTTTGTGAACGTTCACGCTCACGCTCGCATTGAACTGTATATCAAGCTTTAGGATTTACACCGGACAATACTGTCATGACAATAACAATACATGCACAATTTTTCACTGCATACTCTTCCAATTGTCTCAATCACTGTCTTGATTATTTCCAAGACAGTAAATGGGACAATGATTTGACGTATGCAGACAATAATTTTGACGTCTTGTGCAAGAAAGAAGAGGAATTCATAACAAAAGAACTAAAATAACACAAGAGACGCTGATGTGTAACTTTGTCTCTTCTTTATTATTTTTTAGTTTTTAGCTTAAATAGCTCGCTCGAAATGCGTTTCACGTCCAACTTTTTGCTCAAAATGAATTGTAATAACTATTGTAAGGACGCCTACGCCACGGAGACAATGATCAGCGTTTTTGACAATTAATGCGTTTTTCTTTATTGTCTTTACAGCATTGTCTAATGTAAACGCGCCGTTAATCACTGTCTTGATTATTTTGAAGACAGTAAATCGGACAATGATTTGACGTATGCAGACAATAATTTTGACGTCTTGTGCAAGAAAGAAGAGAAATTCATAACAAAATAACTATAATAATTAAAGAGAAGCTGATGTGTATGTAATTTTGTCTCTTCTTTTTTACTTTTTTGTTTTTAGCTCAAATAGCTCGCGCGAAATGCGCATTTCTGCAACTTGTAAACCAACGCTCACGTTCGATATTTTGTAAACGCGCCGTATGTGTGTTTTGATAGGGAGCGTCAGATTGGCAGCCCTTGCGACATCGGACCCAACGAACGTTGGCCAAATGAGAATATGCATTAATTGTCATATTGTTTGAGTAAAGTAGACATCGAGACAATACACCCCTAGAAGATTTTCTTAAAAGTCGAGTTTGATGACTCGATTCATCAAGTTTACGGTATAAATCAAATAATCGACATCCACTCCAACCAGCATTCCGGTAATGATATGGAAAAGTATTACGTAAACGTGGAAATAAACGGGCACCGTCAAAAATTTGAGGTCGACTCAGGTGATGGATTCACGTTATTACCGCGAAATAAATTCAGACGTCTCGATATCAGTACTAAACTGCAGCCTTCAACTATCGCTTTTCGATCATACACTAAAAATATAGTAATACATGACGGTAAAATCAAAGTGTTAGTTAAATACAATAACCATTGTTGAGAAGAAGATATGTATGTTGTACCGGATGGCTATGATGCTCTCCTAGGCCGAACGTGGATAAGACGATCTGTGTCGATTACAAAATAGGAGTCAAACCACAGTTAGTATCTTCAAACTACCCAATACGCCGAATCGACGAAATACTACATACCCTTAGCGTTAACTAGACATGGTGCAAACGGCCCTTAAAGGATCGAAATATTTTTGTCGACTTGATCTTTTTAAAGCTTATTTACACCTTCGAGTGTGCCCAGAATCTAGTGAAATGCAGACCATATCAACACATAAGGGTACTTTCAGGGTAAACCGATTGTAGTTCGGTATTAAAACCGCCCCATCAGAATTCAACCATATAATCGAACAAATATTGTCCGGCCTGAAAAACACAATGTCGTATTTCGATGACATCATTATACACGGAGCTACGAAAGCAGAGTGTAAGGAAAACTTGATTAATTGCCTCCAACTGTTAAAACAGCGTAATCTGAACCTAAACAAGAATAAATGTTCTTTTTTTCAAACACGCGTAGAATATCTTGGCTATGTTATTCAATTCAACGAAATCTCGAAGTCTCCATCGAAAGTTCAAGCGATCACTGAAATGCCACGTCCAGTTTCTGCTGACGAAGTCAGGAGATTTTTAGGCCAGGTGACTTATTACGCCCGATTTACACCGAATTTGTCGTCAATAACATACCCATTACGTCAATTACTACGAAAACACGTAAAGTATTATTGGTCAACTGCGAAGCAGCACTTTCAAAATTGAAAAATATCATCTCCAGCGAAAAGGTCTTAATACCCTTCGATCCAGAGTTGCCAGTTATTGTTGCCTGCGATGCGAGTCCTACAGGAATAGCAGGGGTAATATCTCATAAAGTAGGCGACATAGAACGTCCGATTGCATACGCATCCAGATCATTAACGTCGGCTGAACAAAATTATAGCCAGCTAGATCGCGAAGCACTAGCGATTTTGTTCTCCGTCAACCATTTTTTTATGTACCAGTGCGGAAGGAGTTTCCAACTGGTCACTGACAATAGGCCCTTAACACGGATATTTCATCAAAGTAGTAAGCTTCAGCAAGGTTACTGAGATATGCTGAATTTTTATCAAGCTTTGACTACGAAATTGTGTATAAAAAAGGTTTAGAACAGGTAAATGTGGACTGCTTCTCCAGAGCTACCACAGCCATAGAAAGAGTATCCACAGACAAACTCATCAACGAAGAGGTAAATTAATTATGTCAATTA